AATGAAAATGTAATCACTCACCAGCAAGAGAAGGCCATGAGAAGAGCGAGACTGGGAGAGAGAAGCAACAGAACGTTGAAATAGCTTGATAATGGAGGAATAAATTCGAGCAACTAAATCATCAGACTTCTCAGCTTTACAAAGCTCACAAAGCTTCTTTACCTGCTCACAAATTTTCAAGCACAATTCATCAAAATTTTACATTGAATTGAATAATTTCAGAGAAATTGAGGACGGGGAAAAACCCTAGGAGAGAGAAAAACTGACGGATTCAAGAAGAGAAGGGTCGGAAGCAGGTGAAGTGGAGTCCCTGGCACTTGCTGAGAGTGTTCGGAGGTAGAAATCCCAGTTTCTATCACGATCTGCCATTTATTTTCAACGATTAAGCTCGTGAATTTAGGGTTTTTGATTGCAGATTGTTGAAGAAATTGGGTGTTATTTTTGCAAAATCTAATTGTTCTTGGGAGTTTGACGATGAGTCGCCGGGAAGCGAAGAGAGAAGAGGAGGATTTCGGGTAATGTTGTATTGTTTTGCACTTTTGCCTATTGTTTTAGTGGTAAACATGTCAGCTAGGTAGTTGGGTACGGGTCGAATCGAGTCGAACACGCTTACGAACCTAGTACTCTTGAGTGAGTCGTGTCTGGAACGAGGCTAATTAAAAGTCTTACTCTCTCCGTGTTTTGAAAATTTCTCGGTCTATACCATGTACAATAATAACTTTAATTATTTATGACTATATTCATCTCAATTATATTTTAATACTAATAAAATTTATTTTCTACGAAACTCTGTACTAATGAATGAAAAAGTATTTTGGTATTGAAGACAAAGTTACACTGAAATAGAGAGAAAGCAATGAAACAGTGATTTTTAGGTTTGCTCATCCTGCCGTTTTTTCATTTCATTAATTCTGAGCTAAAAGGAGCCCACAACATTACATATATATGAGGCTCTACCCACTTACAGTGTGACAACACACAACTAGGAACTTTTCTAGGAAACTTACAAAATAACGGCTGAAAATACAACCAGAAATAAACAAAGAAAAGGACAAAAAGGACAACTAGCAGAGAATAAACTGAATATTCTTCATAGCAGAAATGAGCAACCAACTTGATCATATTTGATCATCATCCTTTAACACTCCCCCTCAAGCTGAGAGGAAGATTTCTGAACTCCCAGCTTGCTTGCTGAGTAGCTGAGAGTATTGATCTGTAGACACCACCTTAGTGAAAAAGATCAGCTATCTGATTTGCAGACTGAACATATCTTGGAACAACAGTACCATCAACTGCCTTTTCTCTAATGAAGTGACAGTCAATCTCCACATGCTTGGTTTTTTCATGCTGAACAGGGTTAGCTGCTATAGCCAGAGCAGCTTGATTGTCATAAAAGAAAGGAGTGCTTCTAAGAGATTTTATACCTAGATCCTTCAATAATTGCTTGAGCCACATTACCTCACAAATGGTCAAAGCCATTGATTTGTACCCAGCTTCTGCAGTAGACCTAGCAACCTCCTGCTGTTTCTTAGCCTTCCAAGAGATAGAAGAGGCACCAAGCAAAATTCAGAATCCAGAAGTGGATTTTCTTGTGATAGGATAATCAGCCCAGTCACTATCAAAGTAAGCTGCCAGCTTTGCACTTGAATTTGCTGCTAATAAAATACCTTGACTTTGTGAGCCAAATAGGTAACTTAGCACTCTAATACCAGCCTGATAATGAGCAGATAAAGGAGCATGCATGAATTGACTTAAGGTATGAACAGTGAAAGCAATATCTGGCCTGGTTATGGTCAAATAGATTAATTTCCCAATCAATCTTTGATATTTTTCTGGATGAGGAAGTAGAGTGCCAGAGTTGTGAGTGATCTTTACATGAGCATCCATAGGAAGCCTCAGAGGTTTGCACCCTGTCATATTATATTCATGGAGAATGTCCATGATGTATTTCCTTTGAGATATGATATTCCTGCTTTTGTTCTGTCAGCTTCTATTCCAAGGAAATACCTAAGCTCACCCATGTCTTTCAATTATTATTTAGCTTTAGAGATCATTTCCATGGTACTTCTAGTGATGATCAGATCATCAACATACACAAGTATTGCAGTAAATCCCTTATCATGCTTCTGTGTAAACAAGGCATAATCAGTTTTGGATTGATTATACCCTCTCCCTATGAGAGCACAACTAAGCTTAGCATACCACTGTCTTGGTGCTTACTTCAGCCCATATAGAGATTTGATCAGTTTGCATACCTTTCCAGGCCTACTTGTTGCATTCTCACCATAGAATTCTCTCCCAAACCTGAAACCTTTTCCAGGATAACCCTGAGGAAGCTTCATGTAAACTGTCTCTTTCAAGTCCCCATGAAGAAAGGCATTCTTCACATCCATTTGATGAACATCCCATCCTTTCATGGCAGCAACTACCAAAAAAGATCTGACAGTTGACATTTTTGCTACAGGAGCAAAGGTCTCATTGTAGTCTACACCCTCCTTCTGCCTATTTCCAAGAACAATCAGCCTTGACTTGTGTCTCTTAACCATAGTTGTCTTAGGATCATATTTTGTAGTGTAGAGCAATTTGCATCCAATTGCATGCTTTCTAGGTGGTAGATCTGTGATCTCCCATGTATTGTTCCCTTCTAATGCCTCAATTCCTTATTCATGGCTTCAAACCATTTAGTATTCTTCATTGCATCTTTAAAGTATACAGGATCAGGTTCCTTTGAGTGAGAAACCATAATACAATTATTTTGAACTTACTGGTGTGTCAGCAATTTTTCTCACTGCATTTGCATAGCTTAGAGTAGCAGATCCTACCTCATAATCCTTATTCCATACAGGGGATCTTGTTGGTCTGGAAGACCTTCTGATCTCTTCTATACTCACTTCTTCATATCTCTTTAACTCCCCTATCTCAGCTTGTTCTTCCTTATTTTCACCATTCTCGGTGTTATCATAAGTATCACCCTCATCATCATCTATCCAGTCCTGATTCTCATCATTCTTCATTTCTTCTTCTCTATCAGCTAATGCAGTGTGAAAAATGTGATATGGGAAGATGTTCTCATAACATTTCACATCTCTTGATACAAAAGCATGCCCATCTATCAAGCTAATCAATTTGTATCCTTTTTGTGTCATTGGATATCCCAAGAATATACATGGTATACCTCTTGCATCAAGTTTTTCATGAGATAAACTTGGGTTACTTGCCATAGCAAGGCAGCCAAATGTTCTCAGTTCTCCATATGCAGGTCTCTTGTTACTGAGCACCTCATATGGACTCCTATCTTTCAAAACAACAGATGGTAATATGTTAGTAATGTGCTCAACAGCATGAATACAGTCACCTCAGTTTTTCAAAGGAAGCCCTGCCTAAAACCTTATAGCTCTTCCCATTTCCAGAATATTTTTATGCTTTCTTTCTGCTCTTCCATTCTGCTGAGGCCTCCCTACACATGAAGTCTGATGAACAATGCCCAGCTTCTCATAGAGAGGTCTGCAAATCTGATCTTCAAACTCAGGAGCATTGTCTGATCTGAGTATTTTCACCATATTGAGTCGTTTCCATATTGAGTCTCCACCATCTTTACAAAGTTTTCAAGAACTTTGTATGCATCAGATTTCTGAACCATGAGATTAACCCAAGTCATTCTTGAGTAATCATCAATAATAGTGAGAAAGTAGTGAGAAAGTATTTATACTTTCCTTTTGTGCACACTCTATGTGGTCCCCAAGTATCAATATGAATAAGTTCAAATGCTTCTTCTGCTCTTGACTCACTCACATCATAAGGAAGTTTAGTGAATTTTGCCAGAGGACATGTCAAGTATACTTCTCCTCTCCCTTCATTCATCCCTTTCAGTTCATGAATTTTCTCAATTCTTTTCATTGGAGCATGTCCTAATCTGTGATGCCAAAGTGTCCTGTTACTCAACTTTAAAACATTTGTCACCACAGTTGGGATACTCATATAGGTATTCACATTCATAGCCATCTTCCCTGCACTCAAATCTTTTCTGAAAATTTGAGTTTTTAGTTGATTAACAACTGTCTCTAGTGGTCTATTTTCCAGATAGTACAGACCAAATTTCATTCTTCCTATCCCTTTAACAATATTGAACTCCAAGTCTTGTGTGTTGCAATACTTAGGATAGAAAAGAACTATACTGTGAGAATCACACATCAACTTGTTTACAGAGATCAAATTATGCTTGAAACTAGGAACATACAAGACATATTTCAATGTGAGTTTATTTCCTAGGTTCACATTTCCAAAGTGAGAGATAGTAGTAGTTTGACCAATTGGAAGATTGATTTGAGGGTTATTTTTACTTTTTACAACATCATGCATAGTATTCAAATAACCAGTCATGTGGTCAGAAGCACCTGAATCAATAATCCACTCATTTCCAATAGATTCAGCAAAGTGACAGGACACCATACATGCATAGCTACTTTTAGTTTCATCATCTCCATCACCAAGTGTCTGTCTAGGGAGCATTCTCATCAATGCTTCAATATGTTGAGTTGTGAACTGATTTGATGAGCTTGTGCTTGATCCACCAGACTCACCTTGGTTGCTTGTCACATTTGCAGCAGATCTGTTGTTCACATTCCTATTCTTTCCTCCCCATTTGCTATTTCCTAGAGTAAACTTTGCTTTCCCTTTTTGAGGTGCAAAACCAGAAGGTTTTTGCTGATGCTTAGGATGCCAGTGTGGGTAACCAACAAGTGTCCGACAGTTTTCAGTAACGTGACTTGATTTTCCACAAGCTGTGCATCCTCCTCTCGAGGATGTGGCAAAACCTCTTCCAACACCACCTCCTCCTAGAGGTGCTCCCCCTGACGACGCTCCCCCTAAAGGTGATCTAGATCCCTTGTTGAACATCACTAAGGACTTTGGTTCTTCTTTAATGTTGTTAAATAAAGATCTCTGGGATTCTACTTGTTCCAAATAACAACACGTTGTCTCTACTGAGGGTAAGGTAGTCATTATAAGAGGCTGACTCCTTTGAGGTCCGTTACTTCATCAAGACCATTCATAAATTGAAACAACTTGTGTTCTTCCATTTGCTTGTTCAGAGAAGTCAAGAAAGCATTCACTTCAAAGGTGATTATAGTGATTACAGGAAGGGCATGAAGTGATTCCAGCTTTTCCCATATTGCTTTCATTCTTGTATAATACTCACAAATCCTTTTTCCATGTTGTTTGGTCTCATACAAATCTTTATTAAGTTTGTATTTCCTAGACCCATTTGTGAGAGAAAATCTCCTTTCCAGTTTTGTCCACATCTGGTAAAACTGTTGACAAACATAATAGATTGCTTGATCGAGTCTGAAACTGATCCAAGTATCCATGAAATGACCATACTATTACAAGTATCCCATGCTTTTGATTTAACATCATCATCAAGATATTTCTTTAGTGTTCCAGTCACAAATCCATACTTTCTCTTTGCAGATAGAGCAATATCCATGGGTCTCTTCCATGACCTGAAGTTGGAAGGTCCATGGAGTTTCTCAATCCCAACAAATAATGCCTGACCATCTGAAAGGTGAAGATATATTGGGCTAATAGGATCCATAGTTGTAGTTGGCATGATGAACAAGAAGATTTTTTTTTTATTTTTTATTTTATTTAATGAAAGATTCAAACTTTATAAGAAGAAATGCAAAAGAAACAAAGTATTAACAATTTTTTGCTGAAAATAGAACTTTTTTAGGCTAGATCTGAGCCTACGACTTTGATACCATGAAGACAAAGTTACACTGAAATAGAGAGAAAGCAATGAAACAGTGATTTTTAGGTTTGCTCATCCATCCGTTTTTTCATTTCATTCATTCTGAGCTAAAAGCAGCCCACAACATTACATATATATGAGGCTCTACCCACTTACAGAGTGACACTACACAACTAGGATTTTTCCTAGGAAACTTACAAAATAAGAGCTGAAAATACAACCAGAAACAAACAAAGAAAATGACAAAAAGGACAACTGGCAGGGAATAAACTGAATATTCTTCATTAGCAGAAATGAGCAACCAACTTGATCATATTTGATCATCATCCTTTAACAGGTATCATCTAAATTCTATTGTAGTATAGTCATTAAAGACAAAAGCTATTATAGGCTAAGAAATGCTCATTCACGGCTTGAAATAATCTATATCTATTTTACCAGTACTAATATTACATCATTACAATTTTTTTTACAATTAATAGAATCAAATAATGATTGAACTGAAATAAAATAATAAATACATTGTATAAAGGTTTCGTTTAACTCACTAGATAATTTTTTTGATATGATCTGATTTCAAATATAAATTTGACCTTATGTGTATATTTATCAGTAAGATAAAGAATTATTACTCCGTAAATAATACTACGTATGTCAATAGCTAGTTCACATTAATATGCATTCTCCAATTTAAAAATATTACTAAAGATATGGAGTTTTCAATAATAAATAAAAGGTAATGCTATATGAAGCCCTTAGGACTATAAATAAGCATTTAATAACTTTTCTTATTTGGTATTAATTTAGCGATGCATGACAAATCATGTGCAAATCAGTGTAATTAATGTTAATTTTTTATTTATTTTTATTCATTTTTGGGAGAGATTGTTATTTATTTTTTAACTCCTCATATGTAATCTTAAGGATCATGTATAACATTTTCCATAAATAAATATAGATAAAAAAAATAGTAACAATCTAGGATGAATTTACCTTTTTAAGTCCAAAAAAAAATCAGGGCCCAACTTAACTAACAATCCGGGCATAAAAAAAAATTTGTACGTAGTATACTCTACATGATCATTTTTATCGAGAGAAAGAAAAATAAACAATATATGAAACCCAAGTTTTGATCGAATTTTACCAAAAATTATCGTAAACAACGGCGAAATGGAATTGATAATCGATTTCATCATCTTCTTCAATTTCTCTGGTATTTTTCTGAAATTATTCTTCATTTTTTAAAATTATTTTTTGCCCAATTTAGAATCTTTTATGTTCTTGTTAGTTCTGAAGATAGTCTATTGGGCTAAATTTTGTTTGCACCATTGTATAAGGAAAGATGATAATTGATTAAGCTCCACTTACGAAACCCTAATTGAAAATCTTTCAGTTTCACTGTAATAATTGTTGTAATCTGGGCAATGTGGTATTTTAATGGGTATCTGAAACTGCTAAATAGAGCCGTAGATTATGTCACAATTGTTGAGGAGAAGACTCCAATTTTATGGGTTCGAAATTAGGCAAACTATTTCTTTGAGAGTAATGTAAGTAGAATTATTAGTAATAATTATAATCATAAATAAAATCAAAAACAAGATGAATAAGTAGTTAGAAATTAGAATTCAGAAACTGAAAAAAAAAGGCGGTGGTTTGGCACAAGGAGGCCAACTTGATGAAAATTTGGTGGTTGAAGTTAGAGTTGAGAGAAGGGTTTACAATGAATTTAACTAAGAGCGATGAACTAAAATTTCAAATTTTGGGAAAATATATGTCAGGGAGGGGGCATAGACTTGATTAAGTGTTGCATAATGCACATATCCGAAATTTAATTCAATCATAAAACTAACTCGTTCCGTTCCTTGGATTATGTTGCTATGGTAGATAAGAAGATTAATTGTTTCATACAGTTAAAAAGAATGAACTTATTTTCACTCAATGATTTGGGGTTAAAGGTATCAGAATAGGATATGCAACTAAATGTTTGTGATGACTCACGTGATTGTTGGCGTACATCAAGTATGTATTCTAGTTATAGTTTCCATTTGCAGCATGGTTTGATCGAATGAGATTCAATAGTATTGAACATCCATGACAAGCCTTTTTAGTTCATATTGTACCTCTGTCAAATGAGAAACAAAGTTGTTGAAATTTTGTTGATGCTAAACTATAATTAAGTTGCATTAACTATAGTTATTCATCATTGTGTAAATTCTTTGTTCAGGGACTTTAAATGGTTTGCTTATGTGGTCCTGTTTTGGTGGAATCAAATCTTTAAAAAAGTGTATGCATGGGAGTTTCCAGAGTTTATTTCACGACTGGCAGCTTGGTCACTTGGCTGTTACTGTTTATGAGGGAAAGGTCTAAAGATTTCATCATGAGAAACTGTATGATGTATATTTACATGGAGATGAAATTGCTACACCATTGGTGGCCTGTTTCATAGTGCTATAGTGATTGAAGATAGATATAGTGATCTGCTGGACAAGTTGTTTGGTAAAGATTCAGAAGCGCATTGATCAAAGTTGCCAAATCCTTTAAGACAAAGTATTCAATATTTTGGGCATTTGAAAGATTTAGACGGGTAACACAACTTTTACAATGATCATAAATCTCTTACCAAAAGTCAAACTTTATAATTTATGTATGGATACATTCATCACCCTCAGCTGCTTTTCTTCTACGACTCTTCAAGAACTTTACAGTTGGAAAGCAGGTTCTTATTGTACTTCTCAGTTTCTCATCTAGGCACATTACTTGCTTAAGCCTTATGATGCAAACAAGAGAAGGTTCAATATGAGAAGTGCTTGATACTTTAATACAATGAGGGTCTTGACTATGAAAACTTCTGAGGCGGCTTTTTCAAGTACCTCTGAAACAAACAAATTCAAGCTGAGTTTGAGCTTCTGGATAGTATGGTGTATGGCCACATGCAACCATTTATGAGTATCACTATAATGATACTCATAAATGACATGAAGCTTTTGAACATGAGACACGTTATTAATAAGGTGCATTACTTTCTTACTCTGTCCTTAATATTTTGGAAAGCGATCTTTGATTTTCAATTTGTATTTATGCTTGATGATACGTAAAAATTGTCAAGGAAGCCTTCATCTGATTAAAAATTATGGGATGTTGTAACATTCTTTGTTGGGAGAAGCAATTAGGTATGATAGAGGATTGAATAAGCTTGTGGATATTCTTTTTATCTTTTCTATGCTTTTTTAAGTGATGGAAATAGGTATAATAGAGGATAAAATAAGCTTGTGGATATTCTTTTTATCTTTTGTATGCTTTCCTTAAGTGATGGAAATAATTCTGCTTTGGCTGTCTGCATGATTGATATTAGCCAACATAAATGCATGAATTTGCTCCATCTTTTAGTAATACGTAGTCCATAATCAATTTCTACTGCAACACTTGGGCAATTGTGTTTTCAGTGAGGCCTTTTGGTTTTCATGGAGTTCATTGCTTTAACAGCTTGGTGAATCTGAATGACAAATATTCATTGATATTGTTTCTTCATTTCTGTGGTGATGGGAGTTTGGTCTTTCCAAGGAACTTTTTGAGTGATAGCTGATGCCCTTTATAGCATGCATGTGTAATATTATCTTGTAAAAGTATAGTTATATGGGGACGTGTAATGCTTTTTGAACTAAAACCAATCTATGAAGGCTCAAGCAGTCTTGTTCTCATATCATGGTATATTTTATGTTAGCAATTTTATCTGATTGCTGGTTGAATCCATCTTTCCAAGTGCATGGCTTATGCTTTTCTGAAGGATCATTTACTAAAAGAAGTTCTAGATTTGAATCTTCTCAAATGTCAGCTAAGCCTCATTTTATTCTCCATATTTGGTAGGTTTTCAGTGACACTTCAGTGCTGATCATACCTAGCACATAAATGCACATTGCATGCATTTGTGGAGATTAGAGTGTTGATGGTCTTACCTAGCACATAAGTACACATTGCATATGTGTTGTACAACCTATTTTACCTTGTCGCAGACTCACATTCCTCTCTTCCCCTTTCGAATCATGTTATAGATTTGAGGTGGTTGCTTAAATGAAAATCCAACATCATGGCTTCAAGTGACTTACACTTCATGCTCCAAGGTGTTCTTTTATGTCTTTTCTTAATTTCAATCAAGAATTACATTCTTTAAAACATACAGCCAGGAATGGAATTGTGAGCTATATTAATTTATGAATTTATGAAATTACTATTGCTTCCTAGGTTTCAATTAGTTTTAAGGATATGAAATCGTTGTCCAATTTTAGGCTAAACCATTTGAGTAGGTAAAGTCTTTTACTAAAGTAGCGGATTATGCAAAGTTTGATAAATTGATTTGGAAGTATAAGGCATTGCTTCCGAACTGTTTTGTACAGAGCATAATACTGTCAGTATTGCCTTTGCTGATTTAATCTTTATTTATAATGGTATCATTATTTCTAACAATCTGCAAATTGTACATCCCCACTCTATTGGGATATTTTTGAGTAAATGCTTATATAATCTTGCAAATAGATGTTTTGATTTTAAATTAAATATTAAAATCGCTTCCAAAGTATATCTTACATAGCGATCTCTCCTTCTTTCCTCTTCTGAAGTATATATTCGATAGTTATGGATATTTTGGTGTGATTGTATTATCATGGTATGTCAAAAAGGCTTAAGTTGCATTATCTCTATAATCAAAGTTGTATTTCCAACCATTCGTTTTCGGTTTGTTTTAAAAACGAGTTTGTATTGTCGACGTACAGTATTGCTTTCATGCTTAAAAGCTGAGCTTATCCATGTGTATGCCTTTGCTGTTTGCTCATTGACGTCTTCACAATTCGACTCCTCTTTTGGTGTGACAGTAAGATTGATGCGGTGGTCTTCTTGAGAAACTGCTATTGAGTGGAGGAAATTGTAAATTTCCTCCTTCATAAGCAGACAACACTCCAACCTTTTTGGGTATCGCTTAAAAATATCCAATGCCCCAAAGCTATTGTGAAATTATGATGTCTTCAACCTCTAGATGATTTTCGTCATTTTGCAAATGGACTGGAATTCAATATTACTGGAGAAAAGATCAAGTAAGTCATGTTCTTTTCTAAATTCAATCTATTAATTATTGAACAAGTGAATCTTCGAAAAAAAAAACAAAACTGTTAATGGTGCTACTCTATTGCTTTTTTGATGGTTTGGTTATTTGAACTCTGCTATTGTATGCCTTAGTTGCCCCTTACAATATGCTTTTTAAAAGCTTTGATTGGCCATTATTCTTTTATTATATTTTTTCACTCATTTATGTTGCATTTTGTGGGTCGGCTTAGTCATAGGTCTTAAAGGATTATTTTTCTTAGAGATTGAATTGCTTGACGCAGTTGGTGTTTGCATTCTCTTATTGAATTTTACTCTTTGAAGCTGCTATTTGGCCCTTGATTCCTCATTCATATTGAATTAGTTATGACATTAGTTGAATCAACCTGAACATGATTAGTTAAATAATCTGGCATTTTTATCCTTTATCCCCCCTCCACCCCACCCAACACACACACACTCACCTTTTTTGAGTGAAAATGCAACAAGCTAGAGGCCACAATGGTTCTTTTTGATTCACGTAATTGCAAGGAGAAAAGCAATCCCAAATCCTTATGAATATGCTGTATCCTGATTTCACTGGAATGCTGTAGAAATTCCAATGCAGACTGAGGATTATGTCACTTTGATTGGATGGTGGCGTAGAATAGAAAGTGTCCAGTGAGGGATCCTTGTATGTAGCCATTTAGGACTTGGCTCTGGTTAATCTTGTTGTCCAATAAACTGGTTTTTCTTTGTTTTAGCTTACTGGATAATCCATTTTTTACGGTTGAGGACTTGGTCATATGTGATCCTTTGTGCTGATAACTTTTTAATTTAAGCTGTACCATCCATGCCAAATGTTGTTCCATCTTTTAAATTGTATTGTGTGTCAAGTTCCATGGATGGCAATGGATTGCTCCCCCCCCCCCCTAATGGCTTTATGCTTATAAGGATTTAAGAGACAAGTGGAAGTCTATGCAATTGGTCAAATAAATGCGTGATTTCATTTATTTATTAATTTTTTTTTTTTTTACTTAAGACATTTCTAAAGTGGATGGTATTCACATACTCTACTTCAATTACACATTGCGATTTTAACTTGAAGAAAAACATAGTTATATGGGATCTTTTTAGATTTGTCTCAATGTGTACTTTATTAAAATTTTAATTGTTATAAATTTTACAAATGTATAATTAAAGACATTAACCGTTGAAGTTGTTTTGATTGAAACTTGAAAAGCAAAAATGTTGCAAGTAAAAAAAAAAAAAACAGAGGAAGTTGTTTTTCATGTCTCTAAAAGAGATACTAGGAAGTAAAAATATCCAACATATATGGAAACATTTGGATTTTGCTCCGCATATGGAAAAAAATCATATTCATTAATGGTAGGAAATCAGTTTTTACTTTGCTTGTTTTGGTCCAATTTCTAGTGTGTGAATTAGATATAATCTCAAGAAACTTGTAATTAGTCTTGTATAAATCACAAATCTAAGTTGATAGAATGAGATTCCAGCTCTCACATATTGATGAAAACTTCTAGTTTCCATTACTATGAAGATTCATACAGGTACGTATTTTAATTTATCATACTAATTTTGATAGACAATATGTTTATTTACTTATTTTTTGTCTTTAGGTTTATGTGGACTTTGTGAATAATTCTTGTGTTTCTACATTTTTGGCTGTGATTGCATTTTGTTTTTACAGAACTGATGGCAGTGGAGCAATTTTTATTTTTGCCTGCTTGTTTTATTTATTTATGTGGTTGATTTAATTTTCATCTTTTTATCATTTTGGGGAGTGTTTTGAAGGGGTAGGCATTGAGGTTTAGTGAGCAGTATGGATTTTGTGATTGCATTGAAAATCTGAACATTCAGAAACATATGTTGTAGAGAGCAAGGCTGAGAAACCTTTACTTTCATATTCACCAATCTTTAATGTAGAGATGAACTAAAGCCCTGGTTAAATGGCCATGTCATCTTGCCAAAGGTTAGCTCTCTCTTCTGCTTGGAAATGAATAATTAATTCTGCCAAATGAATCCATAAAATTATGAGTTACAGTTGGATTTTATGCTTATAGATATAAGATTCCCCCCCCCCCCCAAAATTTTTAGGTGTTTTTTATTTTTTTAATTTTTTTTTAAATATATATATATATATATATATATATATATATATATATATATATATATATATATATATATATATATATATATATATATATATATATATATATATATATATATATATATATATATATATTGAATGAACTATGAATCTTAGTACTATATACTTTGCTAGAATCAAATTGAGGAGCTTTAATTCATGGTATTTTTCTTTCTGTTACCTTAGAAGGGAGAGAAGCAGATCTGATGGATTACGGCTCTAAAGGAGGTGTAGATAGGATCAGTGGGTTGCCTAACGACATCCTTTGTCACATTTTATCATTTCTCCCAACTAAATATGCTGTAGCTACCAGTGTTTTGTCAACTAGATGGAAATATCTGTGGTCTTCTGTTCCTGTTCTTGACATTGATGCTAGCTTTCATCGAGACTTTTTCTCTTTCCTCAACATCTATGGAAGTAAGGATTCAGAGATCTCCTTCAAGAGATTTGTAAATAGAGTATTGCTTCTTAATGATACTCCTCATATCCAAAAATTCCGTCTCATTTATGAGTGTCATTATACTGCTGCTCCTATTCATACATGGTTGAATGTAGCCATTTCTCGTCATATTCTAGAGCTCGAACTTGACTTTTGTCTGTCTGTTCCAAAAGAATTTATGAAGTTTCCTAGGAACTTTTTCATGTCCAACTCACTTGTTGTATTGAAATTATCTCGCATGCCTATTATTGTCCCTTCTGTGGTATGCTTCCCTATGCTTAAGGTTCTTGAAATTAGGAGGGTTTTGTACCTAGATGACAAGTGTACTCAAAACTTGCTTTTGGGTTGTCAAGTTCTTGAAGAGTTGGTAATAGAAGAAATCATAAGGGAGAGGCCAAGGGTGATAGATATTTCCATACCTACATTGAAAAGTTTCTCTTTTAGTTATAAATTTGTGACTGATATATCAGTAGATTGCCCCTATAAATTTGTCATCAATGCCCCAAACCTTCAGTACTTCCATGTCAAAGGTCGTATATCAGATGCTTTTGAGGTGAAGAGTTTGGCATCTTTGATTGATGTGCATCTGGATCTCCGCGAAACTGCTGTTCTTGCTGAAAACTACAATGATTGTCATCAACGTATCTGTAATCTCTTCAAAGGATTAGTGAACGCCAAGTTCCTTACTTTGTCTATTGATGTCGTTCAGGTATGTTATCTTATTTGTATACATTATATTAATGTTTCACTCACTACTTATTGATAGTGATCATAGTCTTCACACAAGTATTGATGTGGTTTGATATGATACTTAACACTGTGATTTTTCTCTTGGATAGTTGTTATGTGCAGCCACCGCTGATCCAAATCTGCCAAGGTTTTACAACATGAATACGTTGGCATTAGGTATTGGTTTGGATCTTGATTTTGGCAGGGAACGGCTTGTGAGTCTTGTGACGGAGTTTATTAAATGCTCCCCTGATTTGGATGCTCTTACCCTATATAATAAGGTTAGCCCAGAATTCTGTTTATGGAATATGTGATAGCTACTTACTCCAGGGATTCCCTGAAAAATATACATGACTTATTAGTTACAATGTTTTTATTTGCAGCAAGGAATTTTAAGGGACGTAGAAGAATTGCGCAGGAATCCGCCTGAGGCTGCGCCTGATTATCTGCAATCTCATCTGAAGGATATTCTCATTCAGGAGCTGTATTCTAACTTCCTGCCTGAAGACGTGGAATATCTGGTGCAGGATGTGAATGTTCTAAAGAGGCTGAAAATAAATTGTCAGTGTCCATTCATGCTCAAATGCCAGCTTAATTATACTGCACCCGTCGAATAAGATTAGCTACTTTTTGGCTTGAAGACCTTTTGATGAGAAACTTGCATTTTGTGTTGCTTCTTTTGTTGTAATTTGGAGATATTTAAGTTTGCTGATATGAATTAGCTCATTCGCCCTGGTTGTATGGTGTGAATGTTGATGGAGTTGCTCAATGTATGATGCAGAACTTTTTTTTTTTTTTTTGAAAGGCATGATGCAGAACTTCTTTCTGTAGAAGATATTGTTTCCAATTTCAGATATTTTACATTAATTGAAAGGATTATAATACATTGTGTTTATTTTTCTTAGGTGTTAACTCATATATCACATGTGCAGTTGCACAGTTTAAAAGTTTGAATACTTGGTCTATAGTAAGTTGAAATCTAAATAGTTTTTAAATGAAAGACATCTTCATGTATTTTGTTGTAGAGATATGAACTGTTTTGGATTTATTCTATTTTGGGGTGTGGCCTGTGGGGGTGGGGAGTTCTAGTCTCCTAGCAACCAACTGCTGGGGCGATATGGGGGTTGGTTTCTGAGATGTGTATCTCTCCATAAATTGAATTTAAGTTGTTTATTTATCATAACCAAGTCTGATGTAGCCGTCGATTTCCTTTAATTGGTTTAATTACTTGTTGATGTGATCAAGGGCTCCGCTCACCTTGTTTTGTGACTTTTGTCCAGGTTGTAGAGGCGTGGTTGAGTGAGCTCTTAATAGTCCTGAACTCCAGTTGAAGCTCTTGCCTTCTGGCAATTTGCGTATGTATTACTGGTTTGTTGTCTACAATTCTATATACTACTCGGAAGATATTCCTTTAGTTTTCGATCCCTTAATTTATATTTTAATTTGATTTTCAGTGCTTTGTCATTTTGATTTCGAATCCTGTCAGGGGCAGGTCTCATGGAGCTTCCGGTATGGAGCATTGGAGAATTGTTTCTCTTTTTTTTTTTTTTTTTTTTTTTAGTCTTACTTCCTTCATTAAATTCAGGAGACTCTTACACTTCTACTCTTGGGAAATAGAAAAACATTTTCTGGGAAACTAAATAGTTGATTGGTATTCCAAGAACTCAAGGAGGGAATTGTAATAATTGCTAGCTGTTATACAATGAGATTATTCTAGTCCTTGTGATTTCTCCCTATAAAAATCTAAAGATCAGCTAATTATCTCAATACAAATATAGTGCTATATATTTATCAACGTTGTTACACTCCAGCTACTAAGCCGTCAGCCAAAGCTTGGTAAGTGTTTACATTTCAATTCTGTATCCACCTCTTCTTGTTTATTTACTCTTTTTTTGTTTTTGATTTTCACCACTTTATGTATTTATGTGCTTCTTTCTTTGGTGTGAAGTAAAACATCCAAAATGGCGGAAACTGAAGAGGTAGACAGGATTAGCAATTTGCCGGATGCCCTCCTCTCTGAAATCTTATCGCTTTTGTCGACCAAAGAAGCTGTGGCTACTAGCATATTATCTAAAAGATGGGAATACATTTGGACCGAAGTTCCTGTTCTGGATTTTAGTTATTCCAAAGACAAACTTTCTTCAAATTTCACAACCTTTGTGAATAGGGTCTTGATTCTCAATGATGCACCTGTCATACGACTCTTTCGCCTTAACTTATACCAGGAAGATGATGAGGAGATTGAGGACATGCATGTCTGGTCATGGATCAGGAATACGATGAGACGGGATGTTTTAGAGATCGATGTTATTTGCGGAACACCTGAAGCAAGGGGTCTTGTGAGTGAGAAACTTAAGGTGTTAAAGCTGAGGTGCCCCCTTAAAGGCAGTCGCCTTTTGTATTCCTTTCCAATCCTCTCGATTCTCCACCTTGAGTTCTGTTATATTGAGGATCATGATTCTATGAATAATATTTGGTCAGGTTTACCTTGTCTGAATGAGTTCCTTCTATATCATTGTCATGGATTGCAAAATTTACGTATTCAATCTTCCTCTTTAAAGAGACTTACAGTAGCAGGTACTCTATTTCGGATGGAAGGGCTTGTTATAATTGAAGCTCCAAGTCTAGAATATATTTCTATTGAGGATCAAGTTTACTGTTGCGAGTTTGACATTAACATTCCCTCATTAGTTGAAGCTGACATTGATATCTGCGGAATGATAGATGGTATAAGTGCTGCTGAATTTCTCAAGCACTTTCACAGCATGAAGACTTTGAATCTAATGATTCCAACACCCTTGGTAAATATACTTTATATAATGCTTATATGTAGACCATTTTTTTGTAACTCTAGAGAATTTTTTATTAGTCTTTTTTTTTTTTTTTTAAATATACATATCTGTGATCAGCACTTTTCAATGTTTTCGGAAGTTTAAGTTTAGAATGTATGACAAAATCACGATTTCATCATTATTTGGAAATTTCTTTGCAGGCTGTAATGGTTGATGCTCAAATGCAACCCTTGTTTCCTGAATTGACATGTTTGGATGTCAGAACCATGTGTTATTTATCGCAAAATTTACACATAATACTACTCTTTCAAATGTGCCAACACGCCCCAAATCTTGTGTCCCTTAAATATAAGGTGAGTACATTATCTTTCAATCTAAGCTGGCTTCACCAATATTAAACATAAATTTATCTATAATCTCTGTTTGTTTGAAATTTTAGATTGAATCGCGCACAATGGAAGAGTCACCTTCACTTCCAAATGTTGTGCCCAAGTGTTTCTCATCAACTCTAAAAGCTATAGACGTTGACAACTTTCGAGGAACGTTTGCTGATAATGCGGTGATAGAATACATCTTACAACACGCAATTGTATTAAAGGTTATCAGGATTCATTTCGAGAAGAACTCAACTATGGCAGCTGATGCTTTTTCACAGCTATTTAAAATTCCTACGGCCTCGTCTGCATGTAAAATTATGCGTGGACCTTGAGAACTTCTGGACCATGTTATGCTAGGTTTCTAATTGTTGGATTTGCTCTGTTAGATTAAGTCATTTTGAGACTTGAAAGCAGAAAACATTTGACGTTGTTGAAGTGCTAAAATTGCTCATGTTGTTCAACCATGCTGATATACAGTATGATCTTAACTCATCCTTTGTCTTAGTTTCCTTTATATTAAGCTCTAATTATGACTCTTCCTATGTTGACGTGTTATGTATTGATTAGATTGGCTATAGGCCTATAGTGTAATTTTTTTGGAAGATTACTAAAGCAGGAAGATCATGATTGTACGAAGGAGGTGTGGGTAGCATCACCTGATCACATCTTTTGATCCTATCATTTCTCTAAACTAAATTTATTGTACCGATTGGGGATGTTTATGATGAATTGATTGTTGATGATATGTTATTAATTCCTTTTGATGATTAGTGTATTCAAAATTACTTTTATGTTGATAAGTTCTTGAAGAATTGGTTATAAAAGAAACAAGAACAGAAAATCCAAGAGATCAAGATTATATTTCTCTATGTGCATCACAAAAACTTTCCTCTCATGATCAACTTGTGATTGATTTGTTCTTGATGATAATTAGCCTTTACTTGTCATATTGTGTGTAATCACTTCGGAAAGAATACAAAAGCCTTACTCCCTATGCTGTCCAATGACATTGTTCGAGTACATGACCTGAATATATTAGAAATGTGTTTGTCATTAAATAGTTACTCAAAAACAATACTTCTGAATCTGCCTGGATTTTCTGTCTGACATTTTATCAAGCATTCTAATCCTCCGTTTGTGAATCTAGTACTTTAATTTTTCAATAAGAAGTTTATTGAAATTCTGTTAACAATTCTGGCTCAAAAAAAAAAAAAAGTTAATTTTTTTTTCCTTATATAACCTGTTATTTTAAAGGATAAATACTTGCTTATACTCTGTCAGTATCAAAGACTTGTTAGGAACAGCGATGAATGGTGCAACACTGCAAAACTCATCTTCTGTGAACACCTGAATATTTGGTTTCTATGCTTTGAGACATTCTCATTCAGGAGCCTGAATTTGTAAAATACCTGGTGTAGGATGTGAGCATGTGACTGTTATGATGAAGCTGAAAATGAACTCTCAGTTCCCATTCATGCTAATAAGCCAGATTGGTCTTACCTTCTGAATCATATTAACCTTATGCTTAAAGATTGGACATTTTTGCATACTGAGTTTGCGCAAACTTGCATCACATCTTTTCTGTCATCGTGATTAATAGATATGGATGGGAGTGAGTTTGTGGATATATTTATATTTTTCTTCTTGGATATACTGACATGAATTTTCGGATGTCTGTCACTCTGTCCTAGCTTATGTGTTAATTGTGATGCAGAACATCTCTGTTAATACGACTACTGTACTGTACTTGGATTATATCCAGTTAAACTGTGATGTCTTCCTATAATTAATATCAATGCCTGGATGTGATTGAAAGTTTTTCTTATATCATCCAGCATTACAGATGTTTGATTAAGCTGTCCATGATACTGCAGTGAGGCTTTTTGGCTTCTTTCAATTTGCATGTATATTACTCCCTCCATCTCAAATTACTTGTCCAAGTTATATTATCATCTTGCACTTCGCTGGGTAGTTCCTTCTACAAAATTATGTTAGTTGGATAGTACTTCATTACTTAGCTTGTGGGGGATTTGAAGCCTTTTGCTCTTCGTTGTATTCAGTCTCGGCTTCTCCTATCTCATTTGAGAGTAACAAGTTTTTTAAGAAAATGTTATTGTGTGATTAATTGTCATACTTTAAACCCTATCTATCAATAAATGTATTTGTAATCTACATCACAAATAAAAAACTAAATTTTTAGTAAATTGTGGAGGCATGCATATTGCAATTAATCTTTTTAAGATTCCCATGACATAATTACTACTGCACCATCCTAGTATGAATCATGTATTCATTTTTGTTTGGGAAGTGTAAGAGTTTTAGAATCATGTATTCATGATTCTAATTCTGTCAACGGTTTCAACGCGTTTGTGGATAGAGTCTTGCTCTGTAATGATTCAAGTTCATTAAGAGAGGAAACAATTAATAGATTCAGTTATCATTCATGGATTACACAAATAATGCGACGTGATATTGTTGAGATAACATTCGACTTTGAAATTAGATATTGCAACGAAAAAGGTAAGCAATATACTCTTTAAAGTTTTTCTGCTTTTTGTCACTGTAATATCTGATACAATTATTTTCTGTTTTGTTTTGCATCTAATTAATTTTAAGTCTGCTCCCGGGTATACTGAGCGTGATCAACGCCCTTTGTTTCCAAACTTGACCCATGTGATCGTGGACTACGACTTTAGTTTAACCAACTGCTCAAACTTTTCATGGCGGTATCTTGTGCTATGGATTTTGCAGTGTGCTCCTAATATCGTATCTTTTGATTATTTCTCGGTAAGTCCAGCTATTTAAACTCGAGTGTTTCCAATAATTTCAGTGGTTAATATCTTTGGTACTTCAGAGCAAAGATGGCAAATATGGCACCAATGTACGTTTGGGGGACTACCTACCGCACCTAGGTCAGCTAAACCTTGAGGAATTCCTTCCACATCTTGCTAATCTAGAGGAATACCAACCACAGCTACCAGCACATTCAACTTTACCCAAATGTATGTTTCCAACCCTTGAAGTCGTTAACGCCAGCTTGTTGGATGTGGCTGATACTGATAAGATACTGCTGGAATATCTGTTGAACAACGCCGTAAACTTGAAGGTGGTCAGAATCAAGCTCAAGGGTAGTAACGTTGTTGAAAATACCATGGATGCAATAATTGGATGGCTCAACGAAGTTCCCAGGGCCTCATCTGAGTGTAAACTAGTAGTTTCTCCTCCTTAAGGCCGGGTATGTTGTCTATTTTTTGTTAAATTTGTGTTGTAAAATTGTGATGCCACTGATGATACGTTGTAAAACTACATTACAACATATAGGAAAGCTGACCTCTAATGTCATCACCTGCAGGGTTCTGCTTAAAACCGTGCCGTGGATTAAGCTAAGCTATCTTTTGAGGAAAGGACTACCAACAAGCTAGCAAATATATATGGGAAATTCCCTGTTTCTCAATGAGGGCATTTTCGTGAATAAATCAACAACTTTTTCATTATTGTGGGCTCCACAATTGAATAAAATTAAATAAAGTTGTTGGCTAAGAAAGCAAGGAACGAAAAAATTGGATATTTTGTTACCATACTTTCTATTTATCTACCCCTCCCCTGGTCTGTATTAAAAACTACTACTGCTGAAGATTCTGTAAACATTAATCTCCGCCCTGGGCCCGGGTATGATCCTCAATCACCTATTTAATAGGGTGAACTATATTACTCCATAGTACTTGAAACTTGATTATTAATACTTTATCTCTAGGTATGATCCTCAATTACCCATTTAATAGGGTGAACTATATTATTCTATAGTACTTGGAACTTGATTATTATACTATATGCTTAGTTTGAGTATAAAATAATTTTTTCTTTCATTTGATACCAAAAAGTATTGGTATGAGCCAAACCTATTTCCCCGAGGTTTCTAATCGACATACCTTAGGGGGTTTGAGATATGGATTTTAAGATACTTGATGTGTTTAAACCATTTTAAATTCGTACTAGAGCAAAAAATATAGTAATTTGGGTGGAGAGTCTAAAAGAAGAGATATACGAACTATATGAAAAACTGATAGATGCGCAATAAATTTCATTAAGGATTTGATAATACGATGGAAATGAGCTTTGCATTATATATGTTACTCCGTATTATTTGATTCACTATTTTATGTTCATGTATATTTGTTTAATTTTGCTAATCAAAATGAAAATGTAACTAAGGAAAATCAATCGTGAAAGTTAGTTAATTGGTTTGTTAATTATGGCATAGACAATATGATGGGGGTGAGCTTTGTATTAAATTATATGGGTTGTTATTTGTTTGATTCAATATTTTTAAGTTCTTGTATGCTCTAAGCTAGGGTGCAATGGTTGGTAAACATAATGCATGATCTGTGCACCCAGGTGCACCATGCATATGGTGTTTGAAAAAAAGGCATATGGTGCACCCGACTAAATAAAGAAAAGGCGGAAAGATATTTAGGTGTTTGAAAAAGAACATTCAAGTTTTTGAAAAAGAACATGTTTGTGTTTAACGAAGACATGTATTATTTAAGAACATAAAGACATTACAAAAAGAACGTGATAAAAACTTTATTAAAATTTTATGAAAAATTACACATTAACGGGAAAAATCTTTATCAAAGATATCATTAGTTCCTCTAAAATAGTTTTTTCTCCCTCCAAAAATTTCAACTTTCCATAATAATTTTATGGTACGTAGGTCTCTAATTGAAATTTCCCATGGCTTTGTCTGCATGTCAATTTGTAATTTGTTGATCTTAAGAATTATCAGACAATTTTATGGTACGTAGGTCTCTAATTTTTGGATTTTCTCTGTTAGTTTAAGTAATCAAAACTTGAAATCAGGAAACATTTAACGTTGTTGAAGTGCTGATTTGCTCATGTTGTTCAACTATGCTGATATCAGTATGATCCAAACTTACTCTTTGTCTAAGATTCCCTTAATAAAAGCTTTATTTATTTTTTGACTCTTTCAATGTTGAGTGTTGTCCATTATTGGTTAGATAGCCAATAGTGTAATAAGTTATGGAAAATTGCATTATAATTGTATGATGGAGGTGCGGGTAGTAGTATCACCTGGTCATATCTTTTGATCCTATCGTTTCTCCAAACTAATTTGTTTTATTGATAAATGTTTTGTCAATTAAATGGAAATACTTAGATGCTTTATGTTGATAAGTTATTGATGAAGTCATGAAGAGCTGGTTATAAAAGAAACAAGAAGTGAGAAGCCAAGAATGATAAACATTTCTGTATGTGCATCAAAAATTCTCTTTTCATGATAAACTGGTGATTGATTGATCTGTTCTTGTTGATGATTAGCCTTGTCACATTGTCTGTAATCACTTCAAAGAGATTACGAAAGCCAAGCTCCTTATGATGTCCAATGACATTGCTCAAGTACATCCCCTTATCATTTTTTTTTTTTTTTTTGGATCTTAGATGCTATGTTTCATTAAGAAGGTTATTCACAATTCTGTTTACAGAGTT